TACTTTATACTATGATATTTGGTATATAGTTGATAGAAGTGGTTAGCGTCCACTGTCTTATAAATAGTTTCTATATACATTAATTTATAACTTTATAACTGTGATATTTGGTAATATAGTTGATAGAAGTGGTTAGCGTCCACTGTATTATAAATAGTTTCTATATATATTAATTTATAACTTTATAACTGTGATATTTGGTAATATAGTTGATAGAAGTGGTTAGCGTCCACTGTCTTAAAAATAGTTTCTATATATATATTAATTCATAACTTTATAACTGTAATATTTGGTAATATAGTTGATAGAAGTGGTTAGCGTCCACTGTCTTATAAATAGTTTCTATATATATATTAATTCATAACTTTATAACTGTGATATTTGGTAATATAGATGATAGAAGTGGTTAGTGTCCACTGTCTTATAAATAGTTTCTATATATATTAATTTATAACTTTATAACTGTGATATTTGGTAATATAGTTGATAGAAGTGGTTAGTGTCCACTGTCCTATAAATAGATTCTATATATATTGATTTATAACTTTATAACTGTGATATTTGGTAATATAGTTGATAGAAGTGGTTAGTGTCCACTGTCTTATAAATAGTTTCTATATATATTAATTTATAACTTTATAACTGTGATATTTGGTAATATAGTTGATAGAAGTGGTTAGTGTCCACTGTCTTATAAATAGTTTCTATATATATATTAATTTATAACTTTATAACTGTGATATTTGGTAATATAGTTGATAGAAGTGGTTAGCGTCCACTGTCTTAAAAAAAGTTTCTATATATATATTAATTCATAACTTTATAACTGTGATATTTGGTAATATAGTTGATAGAAGTGGTTAGCGTCCACTGTCTTATAAATAGTTTCTATATATATTAATTTATAACTTTATAACTGTGATATTTGGTAATATAGTTGATAGAAGTGGTTATCGTCCACTGTCTTATAAACAGTTTCTATATACATATTAATTTATAACTTTATAACTGTGATATTTGGTAATATAGTTGATAGAAGTGGCCAGCGTCTTATAAAAAGTTTCTAACAATTTCAATGAAAAAAAATTGTTATATCATAAAACAACTTAATGGAATAAAAGGTATCAGCAAGTATTGATACAAGACGTGGAATGTCTTATTGTGATGAATCAATTCACTGATATATAATACCAGAACTATTCTCATCCTCAGTTAGATCATTCCTCCCTAGATATAAGAAGTGTTCTTCCAAATCTATTCCTCCCCAAAATAATCTGTCATTTTCAGTCACATTCACTTGAAAAAAGTGTTAAACGATCAACTATGAATGGATATAAAATCATATCTAGATAGTTCAATTTGACCCTTGAGTGGAATGCTCGTTCA